ATAGGTGGAAGCAGGCGGATCAAAAATGCAAGGTCATCCTTAGCTACATAACAGCTTTGAAGCCAGCCTGGGCTACATGAGACCCCGCCTCTCTGAATTAAAAAGAGGGGCCAGAAAGATGCGTGGCAAGTAAGAGGACCTGCTGCTCTCACTGGACCTGGGTTGGTTCCCAGCACCTCCACAGCAGCTCCCAGCTATCTATCTCTAACTCCTGTTCCAGGGCATCTGACGCCCCCTTCTGACCTACATAAGCACTGCATGCACCTGGTACAACTTACATGCAGGCAAAACTCACACATAAAAAAAGAAATCTTTTCCAGGTTTCTCACTAGAGAATCAGATGCCCAGTTAGATAAAGGGTTGTGGTCGGCTGGACTGCAGGTGAGTGAGAAGACGAAAAGCACTCTCCTGCCGAGGGGTTGGTAACAGACACATTCCCCATCTTCCAACTGAGAATGCCAAGCTTCAAGACCTCAGCAGGCCCAGTCACTGCCTGGGGAGCGTTCATGAGGGACCAACTACCGCTCAGCAGGAAGTCATTCACAAGAGTAGGCCTGGGCTCCCAGGGCACCAGCCATGTTTCCACAACCTCCCAGGGCTTAACAGTTTGCTCCGATTTCAGATGAATTACTGTTTGTTTAGGTGAACACCATATGGCTTTTAAGTACTGTGACTCTTTAAATGGAAATACAAACCTAGCTAAAAGCTGGGTCCCTTCCTCTGCTTTATGAAAGAGTTAGACTTCAAAAATAAAGACGAAAAGACAACCAATTACCAATGACTGGGGCTGGTGGTGGGCACATTCCAGAGTAGGTAATCATGTTCTGAAACCCAGCAAACTACAGTCCAGACCAGTATCTTTTTTAAACAAAGGCCTTGTTTCAGCCCCTTCTGGCAGGTTCAAGTATTCCTGTATGTTCCAGCCTCTCCTTTCCAAGCCATACACACCCAGCTTTCATTTTTGAACTGGGGGCAATGGCTTTTTAAAGATATATGAAATACCAAGTGCCATTAAATTCTCTTATCGGATTGGGCTAAGTTAGTATGCTGTGACTTTTACCTAAAAACAAAACAAAAGAAAAAAACCCAGTATGTATCAGCTGGGTGTGATGTATCAGTCCTGTAATTCCAGCACTGGGCAGACAAAGGGGCTGAAACAGGTGGCTCTGAGTTCAAACCCAGCTTGGTCTACACAGTGAGAACTTGTCTCAAAAAAGAAAAAGCAAAAACAAAACAAAACAAACAAAAAAAAAAAACCCAAAACCCAACATAATTTTCTTCCCTTTCAATAATACAGAATTAGTTGTCGTAAGTGACAGCCCCTGAAGTTTCAGACATGAAGAACCCAAGTGGCTGGGGTCTGCCTTTAATCAGAATATAATGGGAACATGCATATTTAAACACATTCTTTATCTCAAAGAATTCAAGAAGCACATGAGAATTTTTTTCCCAATTATTTGGGGGGAGGGGGTGGAGAAAAGTACTTAGGGGCTGGTGAGATGCTCAGCAGGTAAAGGTGCTTGTCGGCAAGCCTCAAGACCTGAGTTCAATTCCCCAGACCTACATGGCAGAAAGAGGACTCCTGAAAGCTGGCTGTCCTCTGGCTTACACAAACATGGCTGGTAATTCTTAAAGAGAAAAAGGAAAAAATAATTTAATCTTCATTTCAGCATTGTAAAGGATAACATGAGAAACAAAGTTATATGCTATCTCCACATGCCTAAACCACATGACTGAGAAGAGCTGGCAGAGCTCCACCCAGAAGAGCCTGCAAAGGGTTATCACTCCATTAGGGACAATGGCTATTGATCAGGCTCCTGAAGAACTCCTGAAGATTAAGGATTTTAAAACCCACTGATCCCAGCAGGAAGACCTGTTTACGTAATTATGTCTGACTTTTGCTACCGTAAAACACCTGGTTAAGAGTGCCTAACCCATAACTCCACGGAAGTGACTACTCCCAAACTTGATCTCCTGCAGGAGGCAAATACCAGTGGCCCACTCAGGATAGTTAAGTTCTCAAGAGGCCACTGAAAGCCAAAGACTCCCCCTCCCCCAAGATCCTCAGCAGAGGCCTGCAATTGCAGCTAATTCTGAACACTGTATCTCATACATACCTGTAATAAATTTAATCTCTAAGACAGGCACAGAAAGAGTAAGAGCTGATAAGAAAACAGAAAGATTATAACAACAGACTGTAAGACAGGTTGAGGACTTTTATTACATTTTCATCATTTTGGACGGTGATTGCCCAAAGAAAGTGAGATGACAGAACCTGAAAATGTGGATGACAGGAGCTATGAGGTCATCTAACAGGTCGGACCCATCTAGGCATTCTGCTTAAACACAAGATTACACACTCATCTTAAGTGACCTAGCTCTCCTGCTTCGGAATACTGCCCAATCACGATCTCTATCCTATTCACCCACATACAAGGCTGTGCACGGATTCCAACCACAGCATTCCCAGAATAATTCCCCAGATACAACTAAACCTAGTTCCCTTCATCGAGAGCTCAGCTGGGGCGGTAAAATGAAGTTTCTTTCTTCATGCTAAATTCTGGAATGAGGGCTGTTCCAATTTTTCTGGTGCTGAGACCCCAACTCAGGGACTCTCACACTCACACACAGGCAGTTGGATGAGCTGCCAGCAGAGAAACCAACCCTGTTTCAGTTAAGGGTTGTGTGAAAATTCACTAAGAAGTAATTCCCTCAAAACCACAGAAAATAGGTTTGAGAAAACTTTCTTTTAAAAAAAGGTCTTTATTTTACAAATGGTTCTTCCTTTCAAAGTACTGTCAGTAAAACACAACCTTCCCATATTTACATGGAAAATATTTTGTACTGGGTTCTTATTCCCTAACAGCTATTTCAGATGGCCAGCAGGAAGCCACCATTTAAGGTTTTTTATGAAAACCTGTTTTGTTGAGATAACCCTAAATGCACACCCAACCTCTTCACTATGACCGTTTTTATTTAGAAATCCATTCATTTCCTCATCGTTGGGTTTTTAAAACAAGGGAGAAGAATGCTTAAAAACATGAAAGTACCCTATCAACTTTTGCTAATGGGAGTTTAAGGTGAATGGGCTTGTCTAGCTGTCACTGGCCATCTCTAAAAGAAACTACAATTTTTATTTTGGGGACCAAAGCCCATCTGGGAGAAGATGAAGTGTTCAATGACACCTGGCTTATCAGCTCATTTCTGCATTACCTTGGACAAATGCCATCTGAAAACTCCCTACCAGCCCTTAGGTGCATTGCAGCCTCTGTGTCATTGTGTGTGACATCACTGGGTTGCTATGGATATAGGTGCGAGGTCACTCGCTCTCCTGTGGAACTAGAAATAGGGGAAAATTAGAGCTAGATATCACAAACTGAAGACATTTCTAACATCAGTGACCTACTGGAAGTCCAACTTGTATCCTTTAATCGTTAAACTGTTATAAAAAGGCAACTGTAACAACACACTAATACAATAGTACTTCTGGTTTTAAAACCAATTATTTTTTTGTAAAGTGAAAAACATCTGTAGCTCATTTAATCAGGAAAGGATAAGCACCTGGCCTTTTGAAAAAAACAAGAAAAAAAATCATTTAAAATTAAATAGTCTCTCTTCTGTTTCATTTGTAAGGTCTGACAGGGAAGGAGCACTCCAGCATCCACTTCACACCAGAGATGCATTTAACAACCTTTGTTACATAAGGCAGGAAGTTAGATATTAAGGGAGTGGAAAACCCAATTCTCAATTTTTGAAAACCCAAATATTAATTTTTTACTGAATTTTGCAATATCCAGGGCTCTCCCCCCAACCTCTGCTGGTAAAGTGGTCCCCAATTCATTAATAAATTGACTGTAACTGGCAAAATGGTGCAACTAGTTAGGATTTTGCATCTCAGACAAAAATGCGACAGTATTCTCTTCTCATCAGAATGAGGATGCATCATTAGGTCAGGGGGAATAAAAAACCCTCAGATACATTTAACAAAAAGAACAAAAAATGTTTAAAGACTCTTTTCCCTTTAAAATAACTGCACCCAGCCTCCACCCAGTCTAGGCTCTCTGCAATATGACAAATGCAGAATCTTCTGGAATGACTTGATACTGCCTCCCACCACCGCTTTGTTTGCAGTATCAGATCAGACAGAATATTTTTTTACACTCATACGAATTTCTGCAGACTCGTGCCTGCAATTAAAAGAGAAACTGCATGTCTCAGTCAGTTAACATGCAAAGGCATTATATTTAACCCTTTGAAATGAAAAATAAAGGTGCCATATAGAGGGTCATAAATGAGAATGCCAGCGACACACACGTATCCCTCCCTTCCTAACAGGCTTGCATGGGGGAATGGGTAAAAGAAGCCTTTTGTTAAGAAAAACGTGAGCAAGGTGGTTTCGATTTTACATCACTGAGGCCGGGCTTGGTTTCTTTTTTTTTTTTTTTTTTTTTTTTGGAGGGGGGGGTGTACATTTTTTTTCTTCCCGAAATGTCTTTAAAAGATGTGTCAGTGGGGAAGATGGGGGTTGGGGGGTGCTGATGGAGTGGGGAGGCGGCAAACTGGGAGACCTGCTGAGTGAATGGGAAAGGCGCCGCCCAGACACCAGGGAGAGAAAGAGGAACCGCATCCATGCGGTCCCCCCGCCCCCACGCCTAAGCTGGGAGGAGGGGAAGTGGGGCACAAAGGATGCGCACGGCCCCCAACTCAGGTCTCTGGACATTCAGGGTCACAGAGACATTCTCACCCCACAACAGAGACCAGCCACGCAAGACCCCGCCCCAGCCCCGAACTCGGAAAGGCTGGGAAAGAGGCCGCGTCACCACTCGGGTGCATGAGCCACACTTACTAGGACCCGGACCCAATCCCTCCAAGGAGTGAGATGGAATGGTGACCCTACAGTCGTGACAAGACGACATGCCCCTAAGCATGCCTTCCACGCCGAGGATCGCGGTGTCGGGAGCGGCTGGGGCGAGGCAGGGGGGAGGGGAGGAGACACTCACGTTCTTCATGGCCGCGGCCATATCGTCGTAGCGCTCCGCCTGCTCGGCCAGCCGGGCTTTCTGCACCAGTTGCTCGCGGTCCACCATCTTCGCGGGACTGAAGAGGGTCGGCTGGAAAGAAGGAAACTAAAGACTGCCTTGAAGGGCTTTAGGAAAAGAGAGGAGCGGCTTGGAGCTCGTGTGTCGGAGGGACCGACCCACGAAGCAAGCTGCTGAGGCGAGGACGAGAAGAAGGCGGCACGAGCTGCGACCGCGGGACCCGGCGCAAGGAGGCTGCGGCTCCAATGCGTGCCGCGGGCGGACAACCCCCTGCGGTCCCGCCCACACGAGTGACGTAAAGTCACCTCCCACTCGCGCATGCGCGCGCCCCGCCCGGTCCCGCCCGACCCTGCATTTACTGGGCTTCTTCCCTATTGAAACATTCCCGGTGGTTCCTCGCGATTTTCTCAGCGTAGCCCCAGTTCTCCACTGCTTCCTAATGTGCCCCTTTCTTCACTTCACCGTAAATCCTCAGCTTCGTCAAACCCATCTCACCTTACCCCTCTAAAGGAACTCCCCCCCTTTTTTTTTGGCATAGCCTCTGGCGCGTGGACTCCTGGGAATTATAGTTTGACCCACAAAAAAACTGAATCGCAGAGTAGACCAAGGACAAAGGGGCGATGGAGACTACATCTCCCAGTGGGCATAGCGCGCAGGCAGAGGCGGACCGGGTAGGGGGCAGGATTAAACCCGCAGCCGCTGGGGACCCCTGGCGGGCATGTAGCCTGCACTAGTCTAAACTAGTGCTGATTCACGGCCTCGCCCCGTGGCCTCTGGGCAGTTGGGAGGAGAGAAAAAGATCTGGACTCTCTGACACTGAAGTAACTGGTCATGGTGGGGGTTCGGAGAAGAACACGAGTCTAAAGTAAGCAAAAGGGAGTCCAGACACCGTAAATCCAAACTGCCCAACCACCACCATCGAAAGGGTGACCCTGCCCTAGAGATGGCCGCGTGAATGATGCAACCCTTGGACAATTGTCTACATACACACCAAGGTTGCAGTCTCCAATGATGCACTTTAACATCCGACTTAACTGGATGAAATCATGGAATGACACATATCCGCCCGGTATATTGCTTATTTTCCCTAAACGGTGTAGCTGTCTGCTGACCGACCCTGGGGGACTCTCTTCTTCCTCTCCAGTGAACTGGACCAACGCCTGCCTGAACTCACACCCCCTGTAGTTTTGACTGCATATTTTATTTTTGTGTGTTTTTGTGGATTGTTTGGGTTGAAGCAGGGTCTTAATAGCACTCAAGGTGGCTCCAGACAAAGTTCTGGAATTATAGGCATGTTACCAACACAATGGCCTTGACTGCATATGTTATTTGCTTCATCTACTCAACACGTTGAACAACAATCTTATACATTAAGGTACAACAATATTCAAAGTCGACAGAGCACTCAGCTCAAGAAAATAGGAGACAACTGTTTGAAACCCAAGACGAGCAACCGAGGTAACTATTTAACATATCAAAGTGAACCTGGCCTCCAGGTTCTCCCGGCCTCCCTCAGTACCCACCTGTTATACCTGCGCCCTCTACCTGGGGGGCCGGGGTGGGGGAAGGCTAGGCTGCCCTTCCCCCAGGGGCTCTTCCCTATATTATCCCGACATTTTGCTTACCCACTTTTTGTTTTGCTCCTTTTGTACCTTTGGCTTCCTGGCTGGTTCCCCCTCTCTTCATGGTTGAGGGTCATGACCACTCTGGACTCTTCCAGATGTGTCTGCCTCTTGCTTTGTCTCTCTTGTATCTATAATAAACTTTCTCCTTGGCCATACCTAGGAGCACTTTTATCCTTTCCTTCCTTTCTCTCTTTCTCTCTTTCTCTCTTTCTTTCTCTCTTTCTCTCTTTCTCTCTCTCTTTCTTTCTTTCTTTCTTTTTTTGTTTTTTTTTTGTTTTTTTTTTGTTTTATCCCCAATTGGTCTTTAATCCCAGCATTGGGAAGGCAGAGAGGCAGGCAGATTGCTGTGAATTCCAGCCCAGACAGGGCATCTTAAAGATGAATGAATGAATGAATGAATGAGAAAGAAAATAGAGGATAAAAGATCCTACTACCATATAAACTAAATGTGGTGGCACACACAGATAATTCTAGTACTCAGGAAATGGACAGATCAGAACGTCGTTGTTGTCCTTGATTAGGTAGCAAATTCAAGGTCGTTATGGTATACACAAGACACAGGAAAAGAAAAGAAAAAAGATAAGGGGCTGGAGAGCTGACTCAGTGGTTTAGCTTGCCTGTTGATCTTCCAGAGAACCCCAAGTTCAGTTCCCAGCACCCAGTCTACTGGCTCATACATGCCTGTGATTCTAGCTCCAGGGAATCTGATATCCTTTTCTGGCCTCCTTGGGCACACAAATGTAACAAATACATAAATAAAAATAAATCTTGAAGCCAGGTGTATGGCGCAAAGCCTTTTATCCCAGCACTCAGGAAGCAGAGACAGGCAGATCTCTGTGAGTTTAAGTCCAGCCTGGTCTACAAAGCAAATTCCAGGACAGCCAGGGCTGCATACAGAGAAACCCTGTCTCAAAAAACAAAAACAAACAAATCTTGAAAAAGGAATAAAAAGCTGGGTAGAGTGATCCCAGCACTCAGAAGACAGAGGCAGGCAGATCTACAAAGCAAATTCTAGGACAACCAGGGATACACAGAGAAACCCTGTCTTGAAAAGACAAAACAAACAGACAAACAAACAAACAAAGGGTTTTCAAAACTTAACCTCAACACCATAGAAAAAGTATTTTCAGCTGGGTGATGGTGAATGGCTTTCAACAAGGCACTTGGGAGGCAGAGGCAAGTGGATCTCTGTGAGTTTGAGGCTAGGTGGTTCTATAGAGTGAGTACCAGGACAGCCAGGAGTATTCAGAGAAACTCTGTCTTGGAAAGAAAACAACAACAACTTTCAACTGGACAGAGGTCCTTAAAAAGATTCTACAAGGGAGTCAGCAACAAGGGGTCCAACTGAGCCCTCATAGACTGAAGGCAGCTGAGAAGACAGTAGGGAGAGTGTGACTGAGCCCTCGTAGACTGAAGGAAGCTGGGAAGACAGTAGGGAGTGTGTGCTCACCTTGCAAACAAGGCTTTAACTTGAGCCCAGCATCTACATTTAAAAACACAAACAAACAAAAAACCTGGGTGTGGTAATACAGATTTGTGATCCCAGCCCCGGGAAGGCAGAGAAAGACTCATGGGAGCTCCTTGGCCAGCAAGCCTAACCTACTTAGCAAATTCCAGACCCAGTGAGAGAGACTGCGGACACCTGTAGACCAGGCTGGCCTTAAACTCACAGAGATCATCCTGCCTCTGCCTCCCCAGTGGAGGAATCAAAGGTATTCACTGTCACCTACCTGGGCCACTGAGACAGATTTATTGATAGGTTGTTTGGCTGTCTGGTGTTTCATAAAATTCTAATAGGGTTAAGACTCAGAATATAAGGGACATTAAGTGACAGGCTAAGTAATTCAAGAGGTGGGAGATAGGGTTGGAGTTTGATGTTTTCATTGGTAGTTTTTACTGTACTGAGACTGCCACCCAGGGTCTCACATGAACGCTGCCCAACTGAATCATGTTCCCCACCCCACAAAAATGTTTTCTGTATTCACCTAGTGCCTCCCCTGCCCAGGAATGGAGTCACTTTTAAATAATAAACAAAGCCTCTTTATTATTGTCCTGATTGATTTTGTTTGTCTAGTTAGGGGGGGGCTGGTTAGACGGTGGTGCTTGGTTTTTCTAGCTTTCCCTTTTATTTTAGAAAATGCTGAGTGTCTGTTCTAAGATCTGGTGTCATATAGTTCAGGGGAACCTCAACCTGTGTAGCTAAGGATAACCTTGGATATATCCTATAAACCAAGGATAACTCCTAATCCTCTCACCTCTGCCTCCCTAGGTACTAGGTACCTCAGGTCTATCACCTGTTTGGTTTTGGTTTTATTTATTTATTTTTTTCTTTTGAAATAGTCTCATTCTGTAGCCAGGCTAGTCTGAAACTCACTAGGTAGCCCAGGCTGGCCTTGAACTCCTCGATAACTGTGTGCCTTAGGCCCCAGAATACAAGGGTGACAGGTGTGAGCCACCATCCCCTTCACAAGATATTTTAACAATGATAGAAAATAATCAGATCTGCATATTGTCTTCATCACTATTGAAGGATCAGAAGTTATCACAGGACCTGGTAGACTGAAAGCATATAGAACACGTAACATCAAGCAACTGGGGAGATAGCTCAAAAGTTAAAAGTGTTTGCTGCTCTTGCAGAGGACCCGAGTTCAATTCCCAGCACCCACATGGCAGGTTACAACCATCTGTAACTCCAGTTCCAGGGAAAGCTGATGTCTTCTCCTGACCTCCACAGGCACCAGGCTGCACACACATCCATGCAGGCCAAGCACTCAGACACACAAAATGCTAGAGAAATTGAACTTGTGAATGATGCAAGCATGGCAGCCAATCCCTCTAATTCTAGCACTTGGAAGACTGAGGCAGGAAGATTGCCCAAAAATTTGAGACTAAACTCAGCTACAGAATAACTGTCTGGCTAGGCAGTGGTGGCGCACGCCTTTAATCCCAGCACTTGGGAGGCAGAGGCAGGTGGATTTCTGAGTTCGAGACCAGCCTGGTCTACAGAGTGAGTTCCAGGACAGCCAGGACTATACAGAGAAACTCTGTCTCGAAAAACCTAAAAAAAAAAAAAAAAAAGAATAACTGTCTGTCTCAAAACTCTAAAACAGATGGGTTGGAAGGACAGCTCAGTGTTTAAGAGCACTGGCTGCACTTCCACAGACCCTGGGTTCAATGTGTAGCTCCCACATAGTGGCTCACAGCCATCTGTAGCTCCAGTTCCGAGGGATCTGACACCCACTTCTGACCTTCATAGGCACAAGACATGCACACGGTACACAGATATACATGTACACATGAGATCTGTACCATAAAATAAAAAGTAACCCAAAAGGAGAGCTAGCAAGATGGCTCACTGAGGAAGGGTGTTTACCACCAAACCTGACAAGCAGAGTTCTATCCCAGAGACCCACCTTGTGGAAGGAGAGACCTGACTCCCATAAGTTGTCCTCTGACCTACATACACACACACACACACACACACACACACACACACCCACCGGTGCAGGTGTTCCTTCATAAACACACAAAATAAAGTACAGAAAGAAAAATCCAAAACAAGGAAAAAAAGAATGAATGAATGAATGAGATTAGTAAGTGATGAATGCAGTTTTGGGGTGC